CCTCTTTAATAGAGAGAGAGAGAGAGAGAGAGAGAGAGAGAGAGAGAGAGAGAGAGAGAGAGAGAGAGAGAGAGAGAGAGAGCCAACCAAGGAACTCCTTCGCCTTTTCATTCCTTTTCTGTCGCTTTTCAATCATTATCACTACCATAGTTTAAATAGAGGGTAATTTGCAAAAAGGCATGGAGGCTGGTTGAATTTAAAAGGAAAAAAAGTAATTAAAAAAAAAGTTCCCTGGGGGAAGGTCGCACTCAACTGGGGCCTGGTCCCACTATCAAAGAGGATTGGGTTTAATTCATGAATCTGGACGTTTTTTGCGCAGAGATGCAGTGTCATCATGTGTAGAAAAGCAGATCATTGGCAGTTCTTTGCATCTGTCCACAAACACGTCCAGATTTAATCCGCTTTGCTGATGGGACCAGGCCCCTGGATTATCTGCTTGTGATCGTTTATCTGAGTGATCTAGCGGCCAGGAGCGCGGTCCCACTAGCAACAAGGATTGGATCGGACGCCTGAATCTAGACCTGTTTTTCTGCATCTCTGCTTACACCACGTCCAGATTCAGGAGCTCAATCCAATCCTCTTTGCTAATGGGACCTCGCGCCCCAGGGCTGAAGTCCCACTACCAGATAGATACCATTGGATGGAACGCTTGAATCTGGTCGTGTTTGTGGCAAGTGCCGAAAATCGGTATTGATCTCCATTTCTGCATCTCTGCAAAAAATCCATCCAGATTCAGCCGCCCAATCCAAAATGCTCTTCGCGAGTGGGACGTCGCCCTTGTGTACCAGCGATCGCACCGACTACGCGGAACGGGTTGATGCCCCTTTTCCTCACTTCTCCGAATACTACGCGGGATTATATAACGTCCGTAATGGCCCTGGAGCATGGTCCCATTAGCAAAGAGGATTGGATTAAGCTCCTGAATCTGGACGTGTTTTGAGCAGAGATGCGGAAAAGCTGTTCAATCTCGAATTTCTGCACTTTTCCAGGAACACGTCTAGATTCGGCCGTATTCTCACATGTAGCAGTTGTACTTGAGCATCTCGGGATGTCAAAAAAAAAAAAAGAAGAAAAAAAAAAAAAGGCTCGCAATGGACCCCTCCGGTCAACGGAGTAAACAATTCTGGGAATTTGCGGAGTGAATTCGGACGTAATTATCGTCAAGTGCACCGAGGAATAGTCCTACCAAGTGTGAATACGTCCTGACTAGAGTCCCTTGTTTGTAGAGTGTGCTTTTTTTTTTTTTGTAGAGTGTGCTTCTCTCGCGAGTCTCGCCTCTATGCGGAGGAAAGCCGTATCCGATCTCTGTGGTCGGGATCCCTCCAGACACGCGTTCGAGGGGAAGGGAGTGGTTAACCGCCTACCCTTCAATTTAGGAAGGGGGGGAACGGATCGCGAGCAGTTGGCTCCAATCTAACGTTGGGGAGCTGCACCTGGACCTCGTTTTGTTTTTTTTTTGCTGCACCTGGACCTCATTTTTGTGTTTTTGCTGCACCTGGAGCTTGCGGATCAAGGGGGGATATTATCGACAGCCGGCACGATCGGGATCGGCAGATGATGAATATTTGCTCTCTGCCAATCCCGATCGGCAGAGATGAATCTTTCGGTTGCCATGTGTCTCGGCGGGTCATCGACGCGAGTAAACGAGAAACACGGGGCCAAGGATGACGGGGGCAAGGATGGGAGCGTGGGACGGGGAACGGCAAGGGAGCGGGTGAAAGAAGGGCAAGGGGATTTGCTTCGGTGGGACAGGGAATGGCAAGGGAGAGGGTGAAAGAAGGGCAAGGGGGTTTGCTTCGGGACGGGGGGAAGAGACAGAGTGTGTTTATGTCTGCATGTGTACGTTTACGTGTGTGTGTATGCGTGTGTGTATGCGTTCGTGCGTGCGTGCGTGTGCGTGTGTGTGTGTGTGTGTGTGTGTGTGTGTGTGTGCGTGTGTGTGTGT